GACAAGATTGCGCTTAGTCAATATCTAAAGCAATTCAAAAGAAGAAAATGTGAGCATTTAATCGAACACAGTTCTGGCAAAGTATCACGTATATAAGTGATTTTTTGAAAACAGTGATTTCAAAAAACAGCAAAATTAGAATAAAATTTTCTGTTAAAAAATAGTATAATATGTAAATGCTAGTTCTTAACTAAATCACATTATATATATTTTTATTAAAATAAGATGCTTGAGAATAGATTGAAAAAATAATAAATATTTTAATAAAACAATTTTTTTATGAATATGAATACTGTTGAAAGTGCTAATTAATAAAAAATAAATATACTAACCTACATCGACTTTAAAGTATTAAAAAAAAACTCGTAGAATTTTATAGAACTCAAAATAGGGTTTCAAATTCAAACATATATTTGAGTTATATTAATATACAAACCACTAATATTTCTATTGAATTATCGTTATAATTACCATAATTAATAATTAATATGCTTATATAAGGAATTGTATATCTTGATATGCCATATGGAGAATATAATTCAGTTTTTCTTTTCGCAAGACATCGACAAATAATATTTTTTAATTACACAACAAAAAGCTTCTTATAAAATATTAATTTAAACTTTATATAGTATTTTCTTCTATTTTTAATTTCATTTGAAATAAAAGATATATACATATGTTCATGTTCATGTTGAGGCTTTTTCGAATAAGTGCATCTGGACACTCTTACTCTTTGTTAGCTTGGGGTTGTGTTTAAAACAACATTTTCATAATTATGAAATGCTTAACAATTGTTGATATATAATGTATTTCATCATTATAAATATTCATAATTATAAGCATACTAAAAACCGCCTCGCATTTGTGCAAAAGACTTTCAGAAGAAAACTATAATTTTTCATATTACAAATATTTTTTATATAGAACAGCTGCATAAAAAAGAAAAAAAATTATTTATTCTTTACAATATATAAGCAGAATAATATTTATTGTTTTATATTGAAAGCACTAAAATTTCTTCTTTTAAATCAGCTCTTTTAAATAGACGTATTTGTTCAATTTAATTATAAGATTAAAAATATATACATTGTGACCGAAAAGTTTCCGGAAATTTTAAATAAAACGCAAAATTCTTAATCTTCATCAATATTTATTTTATCTCCTTCAAAATATGCTCCATTAGAAGCGATACACAAATGCCAACGTTTCTTCCAATCATCAAAACATTTTTTATAGGCGCTTTCCGGTATGGCTTTGAGTTCCCTCTGCGAATTCTGTTTTACGTCTTCTATGGATTCAAAACGCGTTCCTCTGAGTGGTAATTTGAGTTTGGGAAACAGGAAAAAGTCACACGGTGCAAGATCAGGTGAATACGGTGGCTGTTCGATGGTATTTATTGAATGTTTGGCCTTAAAATCGTTGATAATGTTGGCTCGGTGCGAGGGAGCATTATCGTCATGAAAAATCCATGAATTATCCTTCCACAATTGGCCGCCAAAGTCGGATAGCTCTCACGACCGATGCCTAGCTCTCGTGCTATCTCTCTAACACTCACATGAGGATTTTGGAACACGATTTCCTTTGCCTTTTCAATGTTTTCGTCGGTGGTAGAGGTCGAAGGTCGTCCAGAACGCGGCATGTCTTCGACGGTCGTACGACCGTCCTGAAAGGCTTTGTACCACTCATAAACTTGAGTTTTCGATAAAACTGATTCCCCATAAGCCTTTTGTAGCATTCGCAACGATTCTGCACACGAAATTTCGTTCGAAACACAAAATTTGATGCAAACTCTTTGTTCAATATTTTTTTCCATTGTTTTTTTCGCAACGCACTACTGAGGTGAACTGGTTTCAACAGCTGCCGTAAACGAACTGTCTGACAGATCGCGCTCATTTTTGGCATAGTAATTAAGGAAAGTGCTGCCAAACTACATAAACTTAAAATATCGAAAAATATACAGCGCGCGAATTTTAAATGAGAACCTCCGAAAACTTTTCGGTCACAATGTATACAGATGTTAATATTCTTTTTAACCTGAGTAATTTGAGTTAAGAGAGAATAACAAGCCACAATGCAAATGCTGAAACTATGTCCAAAAAAAAACAGTAAATTTGCAACAGCAATGATGTTGTCTTATGAATATAGCTGTCTGTTTGCATGCACAAAATTCATTTAAGCAAATAGAACAAACTGGTAAGTCATCAATTATAAGTGAATTAATAAAAATTGTAATTCATTAGCTTACTGTTTATTGGCAAGATAACTTTTTGTATGAAAATGTAAATCGAGAAGAAAGTAATAAAAACATTTCTAGTAATTGATTTAAATACTTTTTTGAACTGTTTTTTTTTATTATGTAAAACATATTACCAACAATTACTTTAATATGTGAGGTAATTTAGTCCATCTTAGATAGAGTGCACCAAGAGATCTTGTTTAGGCTATACCATTTGGTTTAACAGTAGCAAGGTTAGGGAAATATATGTCATATCTAGCCAAAATTTGGTAGTTTTGGAATATATTCACCCGAAAAATACAAAAAGTCAATCATTTATATGTAAGTAAATCAATTATTAGTTTTTCAATAAAACCGGCAAACATTTTTTATCAATATTACAAATTATCAGTACTTAATACAAGGATACTGTTTTTGATTTTACAAAAATAAAAATTATAATAATAAATAACAACGCAAAATTTTCCATTTCAAATAGCTTAATTGGGTTTACTTTAAAATGAAAACAAAACTAAAAATAAAAATTTATTACTGTATATCTACTATAATAATGAAGCTAAGTGGAATTTAACTACGTATAGTATGAAAATAAAAACATAGCAACAATGTATATAGCACAAGTACATTATGTATAAATTATTATTTTGAAAACGTGTCTAAGTAAATACAAACAACAAAATTTATAAGGCGCAATAAACAAAATAATTTAGGTGAGGTTGGCAGTCAAAGTTAAGGAGAGCAACAAAGCACATGCAAACTAATTGACGAAAAAAAGTTATCCATAGACCTAAGAGAGCGGGGCAGACAAGCCAACAAGCCATCGTCAATACTTTTCCACAGTCAAATAAAAAAGTACACAAAAAATGGTTAAAACTAAAAAAAGATAATAAACAAAATATAAAAAAAATATAAAAAAATAAAAAAAATATATATATAAAAATAAAAAAAATTTATATAAAAAAAATAAAAAAAAACCATACAAAATATCAAAACAAACGAACGCAAACAAATATGGCAAAAATATAAAAATGGAATAAAAATATTGATAGCAGTAGCAGTGACTGAGAATGCGCCGTCGCGGTTGTGGTCACATTCCCTATCAATTCCAGTCGCTGCTGCTGCTTTCTACTACTTTCCGAAAACATAATTATATTATTAATTTCTATATAAAATAAAATAAACGCAATAATTGTATAAATATCAGCAGACTACAGCTATAATCTTTTGAGTACAAATAAACCACAGAGCCCATAAAATAAATTAATAATTGTTTATTATTCTTTATTTTCAGTTTTTTACAGTGTATATAATTATTTATGTGTGCTTTCTTATCACGGTGATAATGTCGCCAGAGAATATCATGATTATTTTAAATATTTTGCAAATACAAAAAAAAAAAAAACACAAAAAATAATATTTATGTATAGCTCAGCTCTTCAAAATATTTTTATGGAAGCACATTCATATACACTCAAGCAAGTCTATCTACTATCTACTTTAAAAATTGTGAGGGAAAAAAGAAGCATTTCCTTTAATGGTTACGAATTCTGAATTATACTTTTGCTTCTACCCTATTGGTCCCCATTCAAATAATAAAGTAAAAAGTGTAAATAACAAAAACCGGGAATTATATTCACACATGCACGAGTCTACCTATAATGTATATGGTATGGTAGTAAGCGGTATATGGGCATAAACAACAATATAATTAACATTCAAATAAAA